TTTTTTTTTTGGTTTTTCTCCGGTACCGGGAACCGAACTCACGACCTTGCGCTTGCCAGGCAGGCGCTTTTGCCGCTGAGCTAAATCCCCAGCCCCAGAAACTAAATTCTAAATTAGTGTTTTTCAACTTCTATTCCATATGGAAATCACCCAGGAAGCTTAAAATTCTGGTACCTGGACAGCACACCTAGATCCTGTGGCCTAGCCACATGTCAGTGATTCTTATGTGAGAAAAAAGATGGAGAATCACTGCTTTGAGATAGTAACTCTGAAGTATAGTCTTGATGGGTTTAACAATGACGTGAAAATAGCAATGGTAGAGAACCAGTTTAAGAACGCGACAAAAGCCCTGAACCTAATATGATGATGCCTGGCAGACAAGACAGTGAGAACAAACTAATATATCACTAATGACGGGAGTATGACTGGTAGAACTCATCTTACAAGGTGGCAGTGTGAAAGCTTTATAGTCATATCATTGGCCTAGTAAACATGCACTTTGGATTTAGTCGTAGAAAATCAGAAAACACACAATGATGAAGATATAAAGGATCACAACCGGTCAATAATAGATTAGCTTAATCATTATGAAAATCATACAACCATAAAAAATTTCAGTCAAAAGTTAAATGGCATCGGACAATACTTACAACCTATAGAGGAATAAAAGCACCTGCAAAATGGCATGATCAGCACTTTTAACTTAGTCCATATGCTGAGTTTCAGTAGTCAAGGATATATTGACAAAGACCTGAATCACTGTTTGTGTGTAGGGGAGATTTCTTTTAAGAAAAAGTTTCAAAGATTTTATCAGGTTCTCAAAATAAGTCCTAAACATTCTGAAAAATCACGGTGCACTGTAAAAACCTATTTCAAAATAAATAAGTACTAACAACTACTGTTCTAAGTAACTAGACATATTTTTAATTTTGATCTTCAGAACGCTTTGAAGGATGTACCTTTACAAGTTTTCTCATTTTACAAATCCCTTCTTACAATTCTTTAAGAGTGACTGCTTTTATTTATTCTACCCTCGATCCCAATTCTACTTCTGGGAATTTATTCTAAAGAAAAAAGTGGAAACGTTCAGAACATATTCATGTTGTCCATCTGTGCTACTGTTGTTCATCATAGCAAGAGAAAAACAAGGAAACCATTATAGGGACCAGGGTGAAATTAAAGAATAATACTATCACACAAAATAGCATGCGCCTACTTGAATAAAAATATTTAAAGAAACTGAAGATAAAAGTTTAAAAAGCAAGAGCAAATTTTAACTCTTGTTACTCACTATATGACTTTGCACACTTTAACCACCCTAGTCAATTTCTCAGGGTCACTGTGAAGATTCCATAAAAGATCATATCAGAAGGCACTAGAGACTCTCTAGATCGCTGCTCGAGAGCCTCTTTATTTATTTAATTGTTTTGGTACCAGAAATCGAACTCAGGACCTTGCGCTTGCTAGGCAGGCGCTTGTGCAGCTGAGCTATATCCCCGACCCCTCGAGATCCTCTTTAAAGAAATAATGCTTAAGATGAGACCCGAGAGTAAGTAGGTAGCAGGGGTGGGAGTATTACTGCTTCCAAAGGAAAGACCGGAAGGTGGAAGATCTTGCGCATTCCAGACAGGGCTGAGGCATGGCGAAGGCCTGCTTAAAGGCCACTTAGGAGACGACCCCAAGTGGTCAGATCTGATGGTGGCGAGGACAAGGATGGTCACAGTGGGGTGAAAACAGACAAGACATTTAGAAGCAGAAGCTGAAAAGTGGGAGGTGTTGGGGCGATTTCCAGGTGCTTGGCGGGCACAGCTACGGTGGCGTGGACGCGGTACCATCTTCGGAGGGGGGATTCGTGGAGGAAGAGGAGATGCTGGGGGAAGGGAGCTGGTAATGACTCAGATTTGAACTTGCTGAGTCTTAACACACATGAGCTATCCAAGTGGAGACGCAGCAGATCTGCCAATCCGGAGGTCTAAAGAAAGGTCTAAAGGTGGCTGCAAAGCCAGAAGAAAGCACAGGACATAAAGTACCCCTAAAAAGCACCGACACCTAGGATAGGGGAGAGCGTGGCTGTGCCGGGAGGGAAACCAGAAGAGTGCCACGTCGCGGACGCTAAAGGACATGCACAAGGAGGAAGGGCAGGGCGCGTGTCCCAAGGCGGCTGTCAGTGGGGCGCGCGCTTGTAGGGGGCAGTTCCCCCCAGGCCACAGCGGGGTGCGAGGGCGAGGGGAGGACCGCCCAGACCCCCGACTTCGCAGCCGCCGTCCTGGGCGCCGGTAGCACCAGCTCCTTTCAGTGGCTTGGAGCGCTATTCGGGGAGGTTGCAATGTCCGCAGGGCAACGCGCGGAAGGGCTACGAGCAGAAAGACTCACTAGGTTCACGACGTGGCGATGACAGGCACGCCGGCGACCACCTCGGTTCGGGAATCGACCCGGAAGTGGCGTCATTGCCGGAGATAGGGACCTGGCCAGTGGACTACAACTCCCAGGATGTCTGGCGGCAATACGTCACGGAGCGTACCATATCACGGAGCGTACCACAATAAATCTTGTCGGAGGCTAGCAAGGAGGGAAACAGAAGACTCGTTTTCAATAAATTTTTTTGGCTGAGTCTTTTGTATCTCACCCGTCAATTCTGCTATGTGTTCTTCCATACAGATTAGAGCTCTCCTCGTGGCCCCCTGTAGTATCCTTGGAATGGATTCTCCCGTAGCCTGGGCAACGCACCGTCACAAAGCCAGCGGTGCGTGGAACTAGCAGCTGCAGTTCGCCCGCAGTTTTGTCCCCAGGAGGTCGGGGCTCGCGCGATAAGACAACTCCGAGCTGCGGTTGCCCCTTGCCGCAGAGATAACCTGGACTGGCGCTGTGACGTTCTTATCTCGATTGTAGGACCAGGTACCCTGCGGAGAGGTGACTTGGTCCTCACGGACACCGGGTGTTAGTTACCCTTTGGATACCTACCTGCCTACTTCACATCTGTCTTTTCCTAATGGGAAATAATTTGCACATATCCTCGGCCAGAATTTTCTACCCCTTCCGCCCTTACCAACTTTACCATACCTTTTGAAGGGAACATCCCATATTATACTTTGTATTATATTAATTCACACGCAGGAGCCACAGTCCAAACAGGCAAGCACGCTGAGGGTCACTGAAACAACTTGGTTTTAACTCAAGGTCAAAGGTTCTTGCCCTGGATTATAAACTGGGAAGCATAAACCAATGTTTATTTTGTTCACAAGCGTATACCCAGTGCGTGCCTCATAGCTGGTGTTCAAAAACATTAGGATGACATGGAAATAAATATTTTTAGCTCCTGGGGCCTCCTTTGAAGATCATGTTTAATTAAGAAAATTTCTAAGTCAATGTTTGCGTGTTTAATGTGATATTTCAGCTTTGTTTGAAATGATCATTTAAAACAACCTTGCAATGGCAGTCTTCCCTTTAACGAATCCTCACAATTCATTATGGATGTTTTGTTTTGCTCATGTTTTCATCTTACCAGTATAAGTGACCTTTGTCCCCATTTATTTTATGAACTAATTTTCTCAGTCATAGTTTGCCTATTTAAACTTGAAAAACTTCAGCTACTGTGGGGCAATATTTATATGTTTTACATTCTGGAAAGCTAAGTTACAGTTTCAATATGCAATGCAGTATGCTGGTCATTTTATCATTTTATCGTATATAATTATGACTTTAAAATCTACCTTAAATTTCTCCAAAGGATATCATTTGCACAATATTTACATGACTACAGGGTAGTGATTTTATCAGTTCCAGCAGATAAATGGCAGATGATAGCACACACATTCCTTTGTAACTTGTGGACCCTTTTTTTTTTTTTTTTGTTTTGTTTTGTTTTTCTCCGGTACCGGGAACCGAACTCACGACCTTGTGCTTGCCAGGCAGGCACTTTTTGTCGCTGAGCTAAATCCCCAGCCCCAACTTGTGGACCCTTGATTCACATACAGTCAAAGGAGGCCCCGAATGGTGGCGAGTACCTGTAATCCCAGCACTCTGGAGGCTGAGGCAGGAGGATTGTTGCGAGTTCGAAAGCAACCTGGGCCACAAAGTGAGCTCAAGGACAGCCTGAACTGCATAGCGAGACCCTGTCTCAAAAAGACAAAAAAGCAGAACAAACAAACACATACAGTCAAAGGGAGACTTCATGGTGCTGACTTTGAATCTATGTGTTTTCCTCTAGCCCTACAGAGTGGATTCTTTCATCACATAGTTTAGGAACTGTTGTCTTGTAGAGAATATTAAAACTCATAAACTGAAAATTGGATTGAAATTTAATGAGCATGTTTTCCCCTTTATTTTTCAAAGTACAGTAGGATTTTGGTATAAGAAAAACACCCCTAAGGAACCTTTTGAAGTTATCACTACAAGAAGCAACCATGCCTGCAGAAGTAGGGAAGACAGATATGGAGAGGATTGGCCTCTTCAGTGAGATGGGATATACTACTATTGGTGATAAATATATATCAACATTTAATCGTAAGTATATTTAGTATTTTCATAGTGGACTTTTTATGTATGAAATTTCATTTTAAGGCAAAATGATATTTTACATGGTTCGTATTTTATTTTATTTTTTGTCTTTTTTGAGGCAGGATCTCATTATGCAGTTCAGGCTGGTCTTGAGCTCTCTTTGTAGCCCAGGCTGGTCTCAAACTCTCAATGATCCTCCTGCCTCAGCCTCCCAAATGCTGGGGTTACAGGTGTGTGCCACCATGCCCGGCTCATGGTCTGTATTTTAAAGCACTGAGTTCTAAAGTTGACTAACTTATGACACTGCAATAGAATTAAGAAAGAATTTCATTTTGTGAGTAGGAGTCTCATTTTATTGGCTCATCAACCCTCACATAGTATCCTTTTGGTAGCTTTACTTCTTGCCAAAGGTGCATGGGAAGTTTCTTCTGAAATATTTTGCTTTTAGCTTTTTTTTTCTTATTAAAGTGGGACACTCACTCTGCAAAGGGCATTTGAATTTGCATCCAAGAAGGCTATCCATGATCACTTTCCTGGAAATGAAATGCCAAAGAGGTTTTAGAAAAGTCATAATAAATAGAACAAAAGTAAATGTGGTCTTTAAAATATCTCCATTAACTTCTAAAAAAAGAATGTGCGGATATGGAAAGCTCTCTAAGATAAATTGTTAAGCGAGGTGTAGAATAGCGTATATATTATGCTAAGCATTAAAAATGAAAAAAGCGTATATGACATTTACATGAACAGAGCAGGAAATTCTGTCAGACAAAGCTAGCATCATTGGGTATGGGAGAGGAAGTTGAGGGCCATGTGATGGAAGACTTGCTGTGAAAAATATACTATTGAATTTGAAGCCATTAGAATGTAATACTTTTCTAACATATAAGTTAAAAATCAGTGATGCAAATTCACATTTCAGTATCCACTGGAATTAAGGGTTTTATACACTTCAAAAAAGTCTTTACATTTTAGAATGGCTTCCCAAATGAAGCCCTCCAAAATCCAAATTATAAAAGTTCTGAATATTTACAATAACAGTATTTAATAATTTACCTGAATACTAGTATTTCATTGTATAAATACCCAAATTTTGCAATCTAGTCTATTGACAAACGTTTGGGTTGTTATTTCTATAACAGTGAAAGTGCTGTGAACATACTTAGTGGATGTAGATACTCATGTATCTTGAGTATATACCTAGGAGAATTGCTTCAATTTGACTGTGCAACACCCTTCTCCCCAATGCATGCACACTTTTAGTGACACTGCACAATATTTCCTGTAAGTGGGAAATGGTGTGTTGGACCTCTAAGCTCTCTTCCATCTCTACAGTTGAGAATCTGTAACAAGGATCCTGTTCTAAATGCTCAGATGATTTCATGAAAGCCTCTTATTGTCAAAATAGCCTTTCACACAGAGCTTTCAGTGAACATTATGAAGCTGTTTTGGAGCTCAGCCTTGTAACTGGCTCAAATCACATTTGGCAATTTGTCTGTTATTTATTTATTTATTTGGTTTTTCTGAGACAGGGTCTCACTGTAGTTCAGAGTGGCCATGAACTCAGTATGTACCCCATGCTGGCCTCAAACTCGGAGCAATCCTCCTGCCTCAGCCTCCCGAGTGCTGGGATTATAGGCATGCACCGCCATGCCTGGCACTTGTCTGTTATTTTTAATGTCCTTTAATTACTAGTGAGCTCAAAATTATAGTATTCCTAATTTATTTTTAAGGACCTTTTAATGAGGCTGCAAGCAAAAAGAGACAGATGCTACCTGGGGGATCCAAAGAAATGTCACATCTCCAGGCAGGTTATTTTGATCCCCAGTTTGCAAGGATTTTTGAAGGTGAAGGCTATGTAAATATGAATCAAGTAAGGAGACGGTATATGATGGAAGAAGCCAAAAAAAATTTAAGCAAAGCCTTCCTCCCTAGTAGTGGAGAGAAAAAACTGTAAGTATTTGGGAAATAATTTTAAATAGATTTCTTGCATCTTTCTCTACTTAGTTTAAAGTAAATGTTTGTTTTTTGTAGGAATTACTTATGTAAGATTAATTTTTAAGTATGATTCTTAGTGTAGTTCACCTTAGATGGAGATAGTTATATTGAACGATTTTGATTGAAAGGTAATTTTAAGAATATTTTCATGTTATCTTGGTTAATTTTCTCCTGCTGCTGAGACGAAATATCCAACACCCAAAATTAAGCAAGGAAAGGTTTATTTGGCTCACGGTTTGTGGAGGTTTCAGTCCATACTCAGCTGGTTCCAAGGCAGAGTGGCACACAGCAGAGGGCAACATGTTCATGGACGTGAAAAACAACAAAAGCAGCAAGAGCAAAAGTGAGGGAGAAGAAACCTCTTTTCCTCCCTTCTACAGTAAGCAGGCTCCCCCTACCCGGGGGGTGTGTAGCACTCACATAATCTCTATACCTTCCTCTTACACAGGCTCAGGATGAATACAAAGTAAGGACCCTGCCCCCTGCTGAGTCACATAGTTAACCTTCTAAACTCACATTGACACAAGGAACAACATCCCAGAGCGGTAAGGGCATGTCCTTTTCACCCCAGGATGTAGAACTGCTGATCACTTAGCCAAACATTGAGACTCAAGTTGACACAATGTATCAACCATAACATGGTAATTTTGATTACCAATGTCATTGTTCTTTATTAATTTATAATAATAAAATCATAAATAAAATATGAAATGAGGAGAAGTGCTTTTTTTTGGAGACAGGGTTTCACTATGCATTTAAGGCTGGCCTTGAACTCATTTTGTAGCCCAGGCTGGCCTCAAACTTGCAGTGATCCTCCTGCCTCAGCCTCCCGAGTGCTGGGATTACAGGTATGCTAATCATTAGTTTATTAAGACCATGTAGTCTATATTATATTATGCTATATAGCTAAAATTTAAAGGATGATTTTCAGTCATAGTCAAGAATTTTGACTCTCTTGATGTAGAATGTATGATAAATGAAGATTGATTAAAGTCTAATTTTGTAATTATTTTCTATATCTTCTTGAGATTAGTGAAACTATAAACCTACATTTCTGTAACAAAGATGTTTTTCTAACAGGAAATTTTGTCCTCTAAGAAAACATGATTTCTTTATTCAGAGTGAAGAATTTCTTTTTTTGTGTTATTAGCGTTTCGTTTTTTTCAACCTTTCACACTTTGGATAGATAGGAGTTATTTACCCCCCCCCCGGATCGAGAATCGAACTGACAACCTTCCACTTGCTTGGCAGGCGCTGTGCCACTGAGCTAAATCCCCAGTTATTTACTTTTAATACTTACTACTCTTACTGGAGATAATAAGAGTTTAATACTTATTACTATTTACTGGAGTTATTTACTTTTAATCTTATTACTGTTGGACTTCTTCATTTTCTCCTTAGATATAAATTTAGGAATGTGTTTTTTTCTTTTCACTGCTACTTGACTTTTCATATAGCATGTGTATTTTGCCCTTTATATAACTTTGTTCTGCTTTTCAGTCTATTAATTTTGACTCATGGTAATAATTGGGAATTTTTATCTCATATATTAGTTTATGCTTATTTTTATTAGCCAAGAAATAACAGTTGCATAATTACACTACCTTTCCTTTCTTTTAAAAGTACATAGATTGGTAAAAAATATCTGTAATTTAGTGGGTTAGTGGGTTACGAAAGGTGTTTTCAAAAGGAGAGACTGGTGGTATAAAAAAGAAACCTTTATTTAGGCAATTACTCAATATGAAATCATGGAACTTTAGGCATTTTTCTTTTTTTTTTTTGGTTTTTGTTTTTTTTCCGGTATCGGGAACCGAACTCATGACCTTGCGCTTGCCAGGCAGGCGCTTTGCCGCTGAGCTGAATCCCCAGCCCCGGCATTTTTCTTTTTTTTTTTTTTTTTTTTTTTTTGGTTTTTCTCTGGTACCGGGAACCGAACTCACGACTTTGCGCTTGTCAGGCAGGCGCTTTTAGCCACTGAGCTAAATCCCCAGCCCCCGGCATTTTTCTTTTCGTGATTATTTTGTTAGTCTCTCTCCTTGCTAAACTTTAATTTTTAAATATTTGTTTATTATTATTAGCATGTATTAATTTTATACATTCTTGGGGTGTCGTGTAACATTTCAACACGTGTATAGAGTGCACTGATAAAATCTAGTTTCCCTTTATCTACCCCCAACCAGAGGCATTGAATGAATTATAACCGCAGTGACTTTTAATGTTTGCATTGAATCACACTGGAGTTAAATTATGCTTGTGCACAATTGTCCTTTTCTCTGCAATGTAATTGCTTTTTCTCACTGTATTTTAGAATTGTATGACACATGTTCATTTATAAGGATTAATGACAATAAGTAATCCCTTCTGATGGAATTTTTACTTGTAGCTAGAAGTAATAAATAATCAGTGTTGGTATCTAAGTTTTGAAAATTCTAACAAATGTATAGTGTCATCTTTTCATCAATAGTGTTTCATTATTTGTAGGCCATTTGCTCATTCAAAGTCTTATTTTAGTGATAACTATGGAGTTAAAGATTGTGATTACTATTGACATACTTATTTTTAGTGTGAAAATAAAACAGTATTGTACAATGCTGGGTAACAAAATAGTTTGGCTAGAAAAATTTACATAAAAATTGAAGAAAATATTTGATTAATATTCTTTCATACTAAAGTTATAAATGTAACCAAAGTGCATAGAAATTCATTTAAAGACACAGTAAGTTCTGTTCCTTATAGTTAACAGAAGCAATGGGAATGATTCTAACTTTCTAAATATCGTGAGGTTTTACTTATGCAGAACATTTGAAATAAACATAAACAATGAAACATCTCAAAATGTGTGATTTTGAAAAGTAAGAAAAATAAAATCCAATAACTAACATGAATGGATATTTTTTCTTGTCAAAGTCAAGCAAGTCAATTCCATATATATTTTTTTCTCCTTTTTCAATCTTTAACAATTTTTGTTGAACTATATGACATGATATTTGATATTTTAACCTTTTACTTTTTAAAAAACAAAAATAATTGCATTAAAGATGTGGATTAGGAAGCTACTATGGAACGATAGGTGGTCCAGTGCCCTTCTTCAGTGCAGATGTAAAGCCCAGGGACAAATACCAGGCACCTGGAAAGAATTTATACACAAACCCGGGAAAGAAAGGAACAGGATATGGGTAAGATATATTCGATACCTTTGTCCCATTTGTTTTGAATTGTAAAAACTAAAGTGAAATTTAAATTTCTGAACCCTGACGTCATCATTACTCTTTCTTCCTTAGCTATGCAAATGTGACCATAGGCAAACAGTTGTCACACTCGGCTGATTTCTACGATGCAGCAAAGCTAAATTATAAGGTAAAACCATCTATTTTGAATTTTTCAAACTTTCTTTTATTTGGTTGACCTTGAGAATTCACTTGTGATCTAATTGTTCTCTTGGTTTTGAAATTAGCTATTTGAATTTATTTATAGGCTGGGCAATAACTTAGTCTGTTAATATTGTTCAATACCACCTTGACTTGTGACCCCAGAGAACTTTAGTTTTCAGGTGCATTTTTCTTTATCTTGGTATTTAGTAAATCATCTAAGTCAGTGACACATGTTTGAAAGTAGAAGTACAATTTACAGAATACTTCAGTCTATTCCAGATTCAACTAGGTCTGGGCTTGTCTGCGAATGGGCTTTTAACATGGAAAATTTTGATATTTTGGGGATTCTTTCCTTTCCCAATTGAAATAATTTCTTTGTTTGGTAGCTTGTCAATTTTATAGGTGAAAAACATGGAGAGTAAATTAACTAATTTAAACCACAAACATGAACAAAAAGCAGTGTGACATAACACATGTCACTTTTCTGCTTGTACTCAGTGTTTCTATATTTCAGGTAGTTGATCTTTCATGAAGCGAGAAACAAACAAAAAAAGAAAGAGTAAAATACCTTCCAGTTCTCGCTTGCTAACATTTCTTCCGCAAAAGTACAAGAATAACCTGTCATGAACTAAAGAGGACAGTGCCAAAGCCAAGGCAGAGAGGCTGCATGTTAGGGTTTTTTGCTACCTCATAACTACTGAGTGTATTTTAAGTGATACAGTTTCTCTGCTGGCCCTGAAAATGAACGTTTTCTTACAGATTCTATTTGTAAGAATCAATTTTGTTAATTAGCAAACATGTGGAGAGGTAGCTATTGATCTAAGATTCTTCACATGCAGAGAAAATTGTTTTTAAAAATGTATTTCACATATGAAACTTTAATGTTTTTATTTAGGAAAAATTTGACTCTCAAGGTAAAAGGGTTGAACCCAAAGCAACCCTTTCTCAGTAGTGGAATTGATCTATGTAAAATATTTGTCCTTGTCTCTAAAAAACTAATTAAATAGTATTTTTGCTCTAAGGAAATTTAAAAATGCACATTAAACTAGCTAGGAGTTGAACCTAAGGCCTCACACATGGTAGAAAAATAATCTACTACTGAGGTGCACCCCAAGCCCTGAATCTACATATTAAAATTTAAAAGAAGATTTGACTTTAAGTCATTTCCAATTTGTATACCTCATGCCTTATAATTTCAAATGCTTTAATTTACAGAAAGAAAATGAAGAACACCATCGTTTACTGAAAGGGGCACCTTTCAAGTTAAACCTTTACCCAAGGGAATATTTTGACAGTAATCCTTATTTTTCTGATAAACCTTTACCTCCAATTAAAAGTGAAGAGAAGAAACAGTTGTCTCCAAAATCTTTTAAACCCTCTTCTCCTGGTAAAAAGGTAAGTTAAAATTTTTAGAATAAAAAAGTAAACATTATAAAGAAATATTGCCTTTTGCTGTAAAATCGTCTTATTACCCACTTGAATGATAAACTTTTCTTTGTGTGGATGCTAAGAATTGTGAAACCCATTTTTACAAAATTATATAAAGCCACAAAGCCTAGCTAGTATAAGGGATAAAGATCTTGTAATAAAGTAATTACAAAGCACTTCAAATGTATTTGAATTTACATTTTTAAAATGACTCTTTGGTTTTATTTTTTATTTTTATTTATTTATTTTTTGACACTTTGGTTTTAAAGCCTAGTTGTTTTTTTTGTTTGTTTGTTTGTTTTTTTTTTTTTCCTGATGCTTTTTTTTTTTTTTGGGTTTTTCTCCAGTACCGAGAACCAAACTTAACGACCTTGCGCTTGCCAGGCAGGCGCTTTTGCCGCTGAGCTAAATCCCCAGCCTTTTTTTTTTTTTTTTTTTTTAAAACCTAGCCATCCATAATTTTTGAAATGGTAACTAAAAGTATCTCTCTGCCCCAGAAATTTACAACCTGTGGAAATAAAAATAAAAATGCTCTATTTGGAAACCTTGGTTTATCCTTTGTCTTTTTTTCTTTCTGTGAGTTACCGATTCATTTTCTCTGTGGATTTTCTCCTAGGATCTTTGTATTTTTGAAGCTGACTTGCAAAATCTGTTCCTGTATTAAGGATACTGTTCCTTTGTCAACTTTGTTGAAATTAATTTTTCTAATCTGTTGGGTCTTTGACTTTGGTTATGCCATTTTGTGATGTCTAGAAATTTAATAATTTTGTATAGTCAAATTTATCAATCCTTGTGGTGATGCTCAAGTCTTTTTAAAAATGGCCCTTTTTTTACTATCATATCAGAATAATATGCCTTCTTGACTTTTTATATTAGCCTGATCTTTTTCCTTTTAAATCTTTAAATGTATTATACTCTAAAGAGCGAGGTAAGGATTTAGCATTTATGTTTTTCGAAATGTCGCTCTGGAGGCGTGATGAAGGTTTGAGGAGGGTGGACGTGTGCTGGGTCGTGGCTGTAGTGGCAGTTTCAAGGGTAGATGGAGCCATCAGACCTCACAGAAGCGCACACTAGAAACAGGTGCAGTTTATTCTATGTCAGACTTCAATAAAACTGATTTTTTTAAAAAACATTTTTCCTAATCTCCCTGATAGAACAATTCATTTTAACACCTCTACTTTGAAATACCATCTTCATGAAATCAGATTTCTTGTCCTTGAGTATATAGTTTTGAATTTTCATTCTATTTGAGTGATCTGCTTATTTCTGCCAAATCACTTTTAATTACTATTAAATGTAATATTAAGGGATCTAACCTCTTTTTGTTGCTCTTTGAAATATTTACATCAACTATTATCTAATTTTTATTTTCTAGAACTTACTTTGTAAAGCTTAAAAACCCAGAAAACTTCTTATACTTTGCTATAAAATTAAATCTTTAGTTTTTTTAATGTATTAATACATTTATAATATGAATCTTCTGGTCTAGGAATTAACCAGTTGTAGAAGCCTTCTTCTTTTATGTGTAGCTCTTGTACAAGTTTACATCTTACATCAGACAGATTTACGTATTTTATATTTATTTCTAGTTACATTAAGGTCTGGTCAGTAGTCTCCCATCACATTTTCCTTTACTTGTCTCTACAAAACAATTGATTTTTATAAGTAACTGCCGCATCATTAAATTTCATGTTCTAAGTGGTATTGCTAATTCTTTTGGGATTTTCAGGTATATGATTATATTATCGGCAAATAATTTTGCTACTTTTCCAATATTTGCATATTTTATGTAATGCTTATCTAATTGCTCGGTATAGCAGTAGTGGTCATTCTTGCCTTAATCTTGATTTTAATCGGGATGCTTCTAGTTTATATTTTTATAGATGCTAAAAACAGGAATAACTGAGGAGCATATGTTGTATTTCACTGAATTTTATCATCAGGCATGTGTTGAATCTTATAAATTGGTACAGTACATTTATATTATCTTTTTATTTATTATAAGATGAATAGTTTCCTGGAATTAATCTCACTTGTTATATTAAACTTTCATACTCTTTTCTATTTGCTAATATTTTATAAGTAGTGTTGCACTAGTAATTTTTTTTTTTTTGAGGTACCAGGGTTTGAACTCACGACCTTGCACTTGCCAGGCAGGCACTTATGCCACTGAGCTAAATCCCCAGCCCTGTGCACTAGTGATTTTTTCTTTTGGTGCTAGGGATTGGATACAGGGTCCTGTACATGTTAAGCAACTGCTCTGTGGCTAAACTATACTCACAGCCCTTGCATTAATTTGAAATGTGATTGTACTTTTTTAATGATTTATTTTTGTAAAAGTGGATGCTGGCATCTTAAAATTATTGGGGAAAATTCCTTCCTTTCTCTGTTCTATAACAGCTTAAATAGCATGAGAAATTTCTTTTCCTTGAAGACATAAAAAAATTCCCCTGAGATGTGTTCTGGGTGTAGCCCTATCACAGGGTGGCTCTTGGCTTACTTTCTCCTTTCTTGCATGATGCCTCTCTGTTCTCTATGTTTTCTATCTCTTTTTGGTCAATTTTGAGCATTAATTTTTTCTTAGAAAATCATTCATTTCATTCAGGTTTTCAAATTTATTAACACAGAAGCTTACAAAGATCTTAAATGTTTTAATATTCTATATAGATATAGTATAGATTTATCCCCCTTTTTTTTCTTCAATACTTGGAAGTGAACCCAGGGCCTTTGCATTGAGCTATATCTTAGGTCCTTTTTCAGTTTTCATTTTGAGACAAAGTCTTGTTAATCACTAAGTTGCCCAGGCTGGGTTTGGCCCCACAGTCTTCCTGACTCAGCCTCCCAGAGTTCTGGGATGACAGGTATGTGCTACCATGCCTGGCTTTCTTTTTTCTTAATTCTAGTATTGCTTAATTTATTATTTTTTCTTTACCTGGGGTTGAGCCCAGGGCATTGCACATGCTATTTGAGTGCCCCACTGAGCCGCTTCTCCTGTTTATTTCCTGAGACTGCAGCTTACTGAGTTGTTCAGGCCTCAAACTTGCTGTCTTCCTGCTTCAGCCTCCTGCATAGCTGGGATTACAGACATATTCCATCACACTTGGCTTTCATGTATTCTTAAGCATCATTTGGCAGGTTTATTCCACCAAGAATGTATACATCAGGAAAAGAAAAACTTTTATAAATATTTTAAAACTAAATTTATTGAGACATCATGAGATTAATACGTTACCTTTGTCCTCTACAAGTATAAGAGGTGCTGAACGTGGTAGCCGTTAGCTTCCAGATGAAGTATATATGTATGTGTATTGCTGAAGTGTGTATGTTTCTCTCTCTCTCTCTCTCTCTATATATATATATATATATATATATATATATAATTAATTTTGCTTTTCTACTTTAAATTGTTTTACTTTTCTTAAATATCCTTATTATTTTGTTCAAATCCATGTATTTTCTATTTGGAGAACTTGAAAAGTTATAAGCATGTCTTTCAAATGATTAGTTTGGCTTCAGGTAGTTTTGGCTCAGACACTACAAGCCAGAGGATGTCTAGCTAAATGGGGAGGGGCAGGATATAATTCTGTAGCTTTTTAAAATGACTGTAGCATATAAAGACAAAAATCCTGACAAATGAATTTAAAAATCAAATATTTATTTGTCTTGTATGTAAGTGGAAAAAATCCCTAACTAGATTAACAAAGTATAAAGTAGGTCATGTTTCCCCTCACCTTCAATTTCCATGTGTTACTCCTTCATCTGAGGGGTTACATGTTCCCCGTCATTGCCTGGAATTTTGTATACCCGTGCTAATTCCAGGCTCAGTTTCTTTTCATATCAAAATATATGAAGTACATTGCATTCCCTCCGTAACAGGTCCCCAGGTGATAGGCTGATCAGATGAACTTTCATCAAAATATTGATGCTTGGCAACAGCTCAGACCATATTACAAACATTTTCATTTCTATTGATTTGGAATTAGTAGTGTCTTAACCTTAGAAAATTGCTGGTAGGGAGACCCTTTGCTGGTATTTGAATCAGACAGTGTAGATAAGTTACTTGGAATGTAAGACTAACTCCATAAGCTACAAAAGTATGTATGAACTTCTTCACATCCTAATTTTATAAAATTATAATAAATTGTCTTGTTTTTACTTGTAGGCTGGTGGAATGAAGGCAGGAACTTTTGATCCTTACCCATCACATTCTGCTGACCCTTACATGGTTAAATTGGAAAAGGATATTTCCAAGAAAGATGCTAAGATTTTCCATCCAACAGGTGGACTAAAAAGCCGACCAGTTGAAAGTATAATGGCTCTGAATGTCAGAAGGTAGGAAATCTTATGTTTAGCCCACCCAAGAAAATATTTTCAACTTTTAGACTTCCTTAGAATAATCTTTTATTTATGCATTTCTGAAAATAACAAATTTGAGTAATTTTAGTACTTTCAGCCTTTTCCATATACCTGCCTTCACCTGGAGAAGGCACTCATTTGAAGCTACTTAGCTACTGTATTTGTCTTTCAGTTAGCAGTACACGTCCACATTGGCTGTTTCTCGAAGGAGTATCTCACCAATTGTGAAGAATCGAAATGATCCTTAAGGGTTCTGTCCTTAACTCTAAAGTAACCTCCTTGAAAACAGGAACTATTCTGGCTAATTAAAAATGCAGATATTACACAATGCTTTGAGAAAAAGTATATGTATATTATTAAATATTATATGGGTTCAAATGTTTGATATATAGAACTGAAGGCCCTTTGCAATTTGGCTGTAGCCCTGTATTGTGCTGTCCTCCCCTACTGAAATCTATCCTTTGCCTCAGCCACCTGAAACGCATACACTATTTTTTAGCTGCCCTGATGAGTTACTAGTAAGTTTGTTCCTTCTGCCTTCTGCCTTCTTTCTATAATCTCTGCTATAAAACCTTTACTAATGTCTTCAGATGGAGCCTGTACTGAACTTCTTTATCTACATAACCTGTGTCTTTTATGCCACAATCATTTTGTATATTATACCTTATATTTTATGTATGTAATTGTTTGATTATTATATTCTTCATAATATTTCGATATTTTTTAAATGGCAAGTGCTTAAAGGGTTTATTAAATGAAGTTATTTCTGAGTATATGTGTATGTCAATAGCGTTGACTGCAGATGAACATATGGCCCTTAACCTATGATTATTACATGTATATTTGATCTAAACCAGGGGTATATCTCATTAGGAATGTTGGAATTGATATCTTTGCCATGAATTTATTTATTTTTTGAGACTGGATCTCACTGTGTGGTCAGCCTGGCTCACACTTGGCATCCTCAGGCCTCAGCCTGCCATGTGGCCAGGATGGCAGGTGTGCACCACCACACCCACCTATTTCAGGAATTCATTTTCATTGAGTAATGACATGGCAACTATCTGAAAACACAGTACATTCATATTTCATGTCAAATAAAATAACCACTCCTCCAAACTCCGATACAAAATGCTTTGACCAAAAGCCCTAAATACCGACATCATCATCAGATGATAAATACAAGTCAAATTATGTGCTGTTATAAGGGAGGTAAATGTAGGGAAAATAAGTAGTCCTCTTAGATGCAGTATGTAGCTAATTCAGGCCTTTCAAGCTACTATGCGCTGCTGATTCCTTATGTGGATTCAATGAATAGTTTGGGGGATGTATTTTGAATGGCGATAACACAGATGGTGATGCAACTGATTTATTCATATTTCAGCTACTTTTCAAAATACTTTGGTGAAAATTTTGTGAAGAAAGTTGACCTAGCAAAATTCAAATTTTCTGGTTTTTTTGTTGTTGTTGTTTTGTTTTTTCCGGTACTGGGAATCGAACTCAGGACCTCGCGCTTGCCAGGCAGACACTGCGCCATTGAGCTAAAACCCCAGCCCTGAAATTTTCTGAAAAAATAAAACTGATCTGTTCCTCTGAGTTTCCTTCATATAGCTGAGTGATACACCTGAAATCGGGGGAATTTGTACAGTTTAATTAAACTGTTGTCTACAGGAATAATATCCTGTGCTGGCTTGTTAGTATTGAATTCGGAAACAGGAAATACGGAGCTTTCCCCATGTCCTATGCCTGCTATCCTTACCCTGCATGACTGTATCTCTTAGGACAGACAGTAAAATTGAATTTACCTCCTCACACCCACCCTAGCTAGGTGGAAGTTTATGTGGTTGTAGAGAGTGCTTCCAGGTATTCTGTGTTCCTTTCTACCCAGAGGAAAAAACCGCAGGAAGTTCTGTGCCATCCAAGCACATATGTTCACAGCAAGGAAAAAGAGAAAAGTAACTGACTCTTTCGAAAAATCAGTTTTATCTTCTGTTTAGTAACTTTCTTTATTGAAAACTTTCTGTTTGTATCATCTCAAGTATTTATTCATATTTCAGCTCAAAATTTGGCTTCACTATACTAATTTTGAAACTAGAAAACTTTCGGATATAGCAGTTAAAATTTATTCCATAATTGTTTTCCCTCAAATTACATATTATAAAAATATCTGACTTTATTAGAGAGAAGTTTTAGTGAGAAAAAGTCCTGTATCTAGATTGTGAATGTTTTTAAACCATAGTAATTTAAAAACTTTAACTCAAAAATGTTTATAAGAATGTATTAACCTGCACCTATAAAATTAAATGTGCTTCTTTCTCCAAATTTTAGGGCACTGAATATGAAGAATTACAAGACTGCTTCGGTCCAGTCGTATTAACAGCTGAAAGACAAGTATCTTCCTGGATCCTAACTACCAGCAACTCATATCAGGAGATGATTATTTGAAAAAGATTGAAAAGTTTGTATAACAGCTGGCCCAAGAATTTAAAAGAAATTTAAAACTGCAACTGTGCCTTTTCTTTCTGACTTTAGTACTGCTACTTAATATTGTTTGCTAATAATATGTGATTGCTGACCTATGGTTTTAGATCTATGTTTCTAAGCACAATATAATGTTTTGAAATTTTATAAAATCTTCAAACATGTTCTGTTTGAAGATTATCTGCATAAATTTCTCTTTTCTCTGCATAATTTTCTCTACCCAGCAAGACCCTGTCTCAGAAAAAGCTTTTATTTAAAGCTTTTATTCCTAGTGTTACAATATTGCAGATTTGGAAGCTAGGGGTAGAGGGTGGGGGCTGGAGCCAGGGTGGAAATTACATAGCAAATTCTCGGTGAGTGTTCTTAGTGGTACATATTTGACAGTTGTACTGATAGTTCCCTAAGTGTCATAGCGTATCACAACACTCCACATCAGAGATAAACATTAAACCCATTCATAGTGCATGATTCATGCACATATCCATTACTGCACTGAGACAGCTGTTTAAATATATGTGGTATGATGCCTTCTATTTATACTTTATGCAGATAATCAGATTATTTACCCAGTGGCACTCTGAGATGAGCAGAGGTGGTAGGATGCATTGTTGGCTCAGATCTTATGGCTAGCAAGAAGGATGAGCTTTGCCTTCTGCGTCCTCTGCTGCTCTTCTCTAGCTGTCCAGAGCGGCCTCTCCTGGTGCGTCCTACCTCAGGCCTATCCTCGAGTTCCCACATGTCACTTCTCTTTCACCTGCCAGTACTCTTTTAAAAATACCTGCTTTTAAAATATATTAGTGTAAGTGATAGTGCGGTCTATACACACAGTCTTCATCTACCAGGGGCTGGGGCAGGGGGCATTTGTGTGAAATACATTTGTATTAAAAAGAGAAATTTAAGATATCTAAAATATGTTGGGGAAGTTATTTTCTATCAGTGGTGCTTGCTTAACGCTTATCCCTCTGCCAGGTCAGGTTTCTCAGAGCTGGAAATGAGACTGGAGAGAGGCTGTAAAGCTCTTCCTCTCTGGGGCTCATTCTTACTCCTGCAGAGGGGAGCTGTATAAAGCCAGATTTATTTTTCTGAGACAGGGTCTTGCTGGGTAGTTCAGGTTGGCCTTGAACTCACTATGTACCCCAGGCTGGCCTCGAACTCACTGTGGTCTTCCTGCCTCAGCCTTCTGAGTGCGGGGATTACAAGCATGCCTTACTACATTTGGAAAATCAGATATATTTCTGACTTTTGAAGAGGGGGAAGGTAGTACACAGAATTTTTACTGTTAGTAAATTTGTAAGTTTTCATGCTTTATAATCCATCAGTGGTCAGTGGACATCATGAAAACACTATCACAAGTACAGTGTGCTTCAAAGGTGCCATTTGTGTTCAGAATAGGAAGAGCATTACCAGGTGGACATAACTGAATCATATTTATAGCTTTGTGTTAATATTACCAAGTAAACTTTATAAATATATGTATTCTTCTGAGATAATGGATTCATATTTATAGATAGTATTAAAAACTGCACCACTACCTATTTTAACTTTGTCTTTTGTTAGCTGCAGTTTTCCTAGTGTGTCCTTTAAAGCAATGCATACTTTACATAAGACTCATAAAGGGAACATCTTCTGATAGCCTTACTGAAGGTTGTAAGTATGCAATTGGCAGGTTTTATCTACAGGTTACATACTCATACCAATTTACAGAAAAAATAAATACAGACACCGGTAACAGGAATAGTGAAGCAGATAAACAAATTAAGATTCCTGAGTGTCAGGAGAGGAATACACATTTGATTTATGGGGTAACAGCAGAGGTGTCCATTTTTTACTTTCTTGCAACTACTATTTATTCTTTTAGGTTTGAAAATAAACATACTGGGTAGTTTCCTGGGAAACAACTTCATTGTTGAGACTCAGACAGGATGAGGTAAGAGTCAGCAGTCACTGGCATCCTACCCCTGGACGACTTAGGCATCAAGTTACCTGGTTTCCCATTCTGCTGGTACTCAGGTCGTACCAGCCATCAGTGAAGAAGGGGAGGAATAATAAACTTGCTTAGTCAGCTATTTACTCTGTTACACATGATCCCACCTCATCTGGTTAAGGCTGAAAATTGAAACATATTTTATGGATATTAAATTGATCATGTAAGAAAGGCTTAACATTTAAGAGACATTAGATAAGTAAGCCACTCTCCACAGGAAACAGAACGTTAAGCAGTAGCATATCAATACTAATTTTAAAAAGTAGTCTACTTTAATCAATTACAAGGTCATTGTAATCATACGTAAAAGTGAATTTAAGATTATTTTGGGGAAAAACACTTCAACAAAAGTTTTTGAAACATTGATTTTAGAAATTTATTTACATATCTTGGGTGGAAGCAGTGGATACATTTTGCTTGGAATTCCTGGAAGAAAAAAAAAAGAAGGCTTTTAAGGTGGAAATACTTAGTGTACTTCAGAATCATAATTAAAAAAACCTTGTTCCCTGCCAAAGATGCCTTATGTATATTCACTCTATTTAATACAAATGAAATGAGTTTTATCTAAAGAATAGAATTCCTAACTAATCCCATTATATAATAAATCAGATGCAAATATTACAAAAGTAAATTATATCCATCCTAAAGTTTTCTTCTTATTTCAGTACTCTGGTTAGTGCTCAAAAGGCTAAAAGCATCTTCCATGCATCTCTGCTGTCTACCACAACATACATACCTTTCAAATCAGGAGCTGAAGGCCTACTCTTTGAAATGTCTTGACAAGTATCATAATTGTCTAAATGGAATTTCTCCCTTCTTGGAATGTAAGCCATTTTTAATAGATCATTGTGCTGACTACAGATTTTATCACTTAAACTCAAATATTCTCGTTGAAGATTCCGCATCTCAAATTCCAAGGTATCCCTTTCATTTTCTATGCTTCGTACATAGTTCTCTAAAAGTACTTTGTCTTCTGTAAGTCTGCTGATGCTGTTTTCAAATTTTATATTTTCTTGGCTATGTTTCTTCAGTTCTTCTTTCAGAATCTGATTATCTGTCTTAATTTCCATTACCATTTTAGATAACATTTCACATTCCTGGCTGATTTCTGACAAGCTGTTTTTATAAATACTTGCTTCTGATTTTGCATTTTTTATTTCTTTCCGCAGATTCTGTTCTGCAGTGGATTGGTAGGTTTGAACATTCTCAATTTCCCTTTCCATCATTTGCCTGGCAGCAGTAGATTCTTGTAACGCTGTTTCAAGATTTGCTTTTTCATTTTTAACTGTTTCTATTATTTGAATAAGTGTCTTTTGTTCAGTTTTTGCCAATCTTTCTTTCTCTTTTAGCTGCATGATCTCCAGCTGTCTTTCTTTTAGTTCATTTTCAAGTGAGCTTTTGTCCTGTAAAAGTTGGTGTGTTTTTTTCTCTAACATTTCTTTTTCATCTTGTATCAGCAGAATGTTTGTTTTCATTGCTTCCATTTCTATACTCATTTGGTTATTTTCATTATTGACAATCACCATATCACTTTGAGTTTTATGTTCTTTACTTTTCAGTTGATCTAATGCCTCTATCGTTTGTTGCTTCTCCAAAAAAAGTTGATTCATTTTTTCTTCTAGCATTTTATTTTGGCCTTGGAGAACATTATATTTACTAATTATTTTCTTAAGTTCTTTAAGACATTCTTTACTATCTTCTTCTGTTTTAATTAACTTGGACTGAATAGTGTTCTTTTCTTCAACCATATTCTTAAGTTGTTTTTCATTTGTCTCAATTTTCTGTATCAGGGATTGTGTAGTCAAGATAAGAGGTTTCATTTTGGACTTAAGGATTAGATTCTCATTCTCCAGTTCTGTTACTTTTTTCTGAATCTGCATAGATTCTTTTAGGTAATTTTGTAAGTACTGAATTTTTGCAACACATTGCTCAGTAACAGAATTGAATTTGGATGTTTTCTCATTTTCGAGTAGTACTGATCCTTGTTTTACTACAAATGGTTGTGCTTCTTTGTCTTTTAGTTCACATTTTGTTTGGTCAAGGGACGATAGCGTATATCTTGGCACTCTGGGCTGGAACTTTATCTCGGTAATATTCTTGCCAGTGATAGGAAAATCTTTATATTTTTTCTCATTCTTTTTACCCCTGTGTATCTCACTCTTAGATAATTTTTTACATTTCCTACAAAAATGTACATGGAATTTTGATACTGTTTGTCTGAGTGGGAGTAATTTGTTTACTAATGCCTCTAATTCTGCAATTCTCTTTAATTTTATATCTTCATTTAAATTATCATTTATGCTTTTTTCCTCACTAAAATTAAATTTTTCCTTGTCAGTGGGAGACAGGTCATGTTTATCATTACTTTGAATATTTGTATCTGTTTTTAAAGTTTGCAGTTCATTTGTAAGTGCCAATTCCCTATTGTGTGACTTTCGAAGCTCTTCCTTCATTTGTTTAATAGAGTGGCAAATATCATCTAAATTTTCACAGAATCCGTGCTTCAGAAAAGGCACAGTAATTTTAGATTTGTCGAGAATTATTGTATTAGCTGGAGTCATCACATTTTGAGGTACTGTAGGCAAAAAACTGTAAATATTATTATAATTCTTTAACACATCAGACTTTTCTGAGGGGTTCATAATTATGTTTGAAGCTGAATTATCTGTGGAAGGTTTTAAGTTCTCAAGAATTACTGTATCCTTGTAATGTATCTGAGATGGAATATTTGTACTTCGAGAGGGACTGTTGACATTATTGCTACTGAATTTTTCTTCAACTGAATGAAGTGCCTTGGAATCTTCAAAATGATGAATTTTCTCCATAGAAAGGATTTCTTCTTGCTTCTCTATAGGCTAGTAACAGTAAAAGTACATGATAAATATACCATCATTTGCCACATGACCAAGAAATTAAGATAGTATTTTGTGGAGGACTTTTATTGTATAATAAAACAAATAATTTATCCATTTATACACTAAAAAAATCTCTTACAAATATGGTTTATTTTTTCCAGAAAAATAAGATGTTTTTTGGAGTGTGTGTCCGTATGTGGCATGAACCACAATAGTTATTTGCTTAGAACTGTGCTCATTTCCTAAGGGATGAGATACCTGAGCCAAGCCCTCATTTCAGAAACAGAAATTTAGCATCCTTCAAGAGACTGTCATAGATAGGTGGGAAGGTCACAGAACAAACAGGAATTTAAGGGAAACAAATATTTCTATTTCTCAAGTGATTGTCAACCTTTATTAGCACTTCTAGCTATGGATGATTTTAGGACTGTGACTATCCTAGCAATACATTTCCTAATTAGTGTGGAACAGCAATATTGACTTTGTTTAGAGCTGTTCTAGGGAATTTAATCTAGGTTTTTGTCAGTCCTTGGTGGACAGATATGATGGAGACCATTATGAAGCAGCCCTGGGTAGGACTTAAATTAACCAATTGGCTTTTCATGTTCGCCTGTGAGTCTGTCCAAGGCCTAGGCTCCTCATCTGGAAATGGGTTGCAGACTCATAGTAAGTGAACCTCTGTGAGTCACTAATCCCTACTAAGGCCTGTCATGGTGGATGAAGCCAGAAAGCCTCAGAGGATAAGACAAGATCACAGTCAATGACACCTGGATCCAACCTCAACTAGATAAAGACTGTAGCTTCAGACATCTCACTACTGGGTGGATTAATTTAATACCTTACTTGGAGAAATCCTTGAGTGGTCCTACCCTTCTTGAGTACTCCCCTCCTTTCTTCTGGTAACTAAATAAATGTGGGCCACCCAGAGAAGGTCTTGGTCTTAGCCCCAAGAGAATCTCAAATTCTGTGAGAGGGCTTTGATCCTGCTGGAGCCCTGAAATCATTCCATTTGTGTCTTTTTATTTAGCCTTTGCCATACCCTCATTTGGGAGATTGCAGAGCTGATCAGCCTGCAATAACTAAGGGATATTAACCCGATACAGTTGGGCTGTACAATTTGCCTTGCATTCACGTTTACTTGGGGATCTTTCAGTATCTGGACTAAGTCATATGTCTCTCACAGACTGTCCTAAAAGTAGTAATATTGCAGCAAGTAGGGAGGTGAACTCACATCTTTTAAGGTTTTCAAGATAGGAATTTCCTTGTCTTCATCTCTGATACTCCATTCTTCCTGTGAAGAGGGAGAAAATGTAAAGAAGAAACTAGTTGTAGGGACATTTTTGAAATACCTAAACATAGGAATAATTTGTATAGAACAACATACCAAATCCTTTTCAGTGTGTGTGCTGAATAATAGGTTTTTTTCTGAGCTAAATTGTGGGCTTTCTACTTCAATAATACTTTTGTTCAATATTTCGCTGATTTCAGATTGTACCTTTAAAAGATAAAGTAGAATGTTAGAGTTTTATTTCAGATTTACAATCTTTTGAATGTTTAGAAATAATAGATATTATAGTTAAAAGATACCTTTATGCTTCCTGCATATAAATATTTCATAGAGAATATAAATTAAATTTGTTTAATTTATTATAAATGTTTACTATTAAAGGAAATTTTAAGAAAATTATGTCATATGATTATAAAACAAGAAAGTTGATTGGTACAATGTAAAATTTTATGAATGATATTCAAATGTAGGTGTTCAACGTTTACATTGCTGAATAAATAATTGATCTTTGATATTTGTCATCAAGACAGTCTATTCTTTCATCCTTAGGAATAGTCTTTCTTCTCTTCCATTTCCCTGTAGTATTTTTGCTACAAGATAATTGGGGTAACATTGATATAGGGTTTTTCCAAATGGTTTAGGGGGAAAGTACTCTATTACCTTGAGTAACAAAAAGCCTAGAAATAGCTCGCTTCAGTTTGGCTTAATTCATATGATCAAGATGTGTGTCATCAGGAACAGGTCTTACTCTGTATCTCGGAAGGTATGTTGTGATAGGTAGCCCCAGTGTCCATACCCCAGCCTTCTGTTTTCACAACTCCTCGCTTCTCCTGGACGAAGTTCACATGCCTTTGATCAGGCTGATTTCCCACTAGCCCCAACGGTGGACATGTGACTCAGCTCTAAGCAACCAGGGAACCACCTCCCTCTAGACAGTGATGGGTTCAAGTACTGCATGTGACCCAATCTGGGGCAATCACAATTAGGCTAAGAACCTTATTATCAAGTATTAATAGAACAAAGCATGCTTTCTTCTCTATCTGGCTCATATCTGGATGGACAGAGGCCTGGCACTCCTAGCAGCTCTTCTGCCACCATATGGAATATGAGAACCCATTGTCCTGGAAAGCAGAACCAAGATACAGAGTAAGACTTGTTCCTGATGACACACATCTTGATCATATGAATTAAGCCAAACTGAACTGAGCTATTTCTAGGCTTTTCGGTTACTCAAGGTGATAGAATATTTTTCCCCTAAACCATTTGGAGAGAATCCCTTTCTGTAGCCTGTTTATCAGTAGGACTTTAAACTTGTGTTTAAAACTTCAGTGTGCTCTTTCTTTTTGTCTCATACCCAGTTAACAAGTGTAACAGAAAAAGGTAGTTTCCTCAAAGCAGATTTTGAGGCTGAAATATGCTGTGACCTCTGGTCTATTAAATCTATATGAACACATCAAATGACTAGTGATCATCAGTTTAGAAGATGGGATGGCACTTTCAGTTATGGTCTTTCCTATCCATAAGTTAAAGGAATCATACCATAGTAACATTCTGCAAAGTCTGCATTCGAAGAGCCTGAAATGATTCCAACTGATGTTGAAGGACCTATAATGAAATGAAACGAAGTATTAAATTGAATATTTTTAGGTAGCCAAACTTCTTCTTGGACTGTCATGACTTCTATACCTCTCAAATTGCCTGTTGGTGGGAAGGATGGCATGAGAGTCAAGTGGCTCAGTTCTTAGTCATTTTTCTAATTTTCCATCACTCCCATGTGGATTTTTGTGAGGGCAAAGTGGAAAAAGAATCCACATGCCCTTAGGAAGTATTTACTTTGAACCAGATCACCATTTACATAAGGTTCTGGTAATAAAATGAAATATACTTACTTTTAATGCTGACTGTGGTTGGATTTGATTTTCTGAGTCTGATATGCAGCCACATTCTGAAAAAGTGAATATATGATTTAATTAGGAAATTTTATTTTTGATCAGCTGTAGTAGAAAGTGGTCTCCTAACTTTCTTGGACAATGAAAGAGAGCTAATAAGAATATTTGCTATTTATACTAGTCAGCCACATGATAAATTTAAGGAGTAATTCCCTCTTAAAGTACCTATTTGATGTTATACTAGTTTTTTTTTTTTTTTTTTTTTTTTTTACCTTTATAAGAAATCACTAACTGGCAACACTAAACTTGGAATAAACTATTTATTTCTGAGATGCAAACTACATTTTTTTTTTTTTTTTGTAAAAACAGCAACAGGAGCAAAACAGTTAATAATCCTCATATGCCTGTAAGCCCAGCCCTGGGAGGCTGAGGCAGAAGGACTGCCATGAGTTTGAGGCCAACCTGGGCTATATATTGACTTTAAGGCCAGCTTGGGCTACATAGCAAGACCCTGCCTCAAAAAAAAAAAATAAAACAAAAAACCAAAACACAAAAATAATCCTCATCTTAAGGGAAACTTTTGGCAAAGTACCATAGAGGCCTCAGTTTTTATAAAACTGCTGTGTGATGCTTCCCCCTCCCGATCATGGAAACTTAGTCCGTGCTATTTCCCCCTCTCTTCAGCAAAGCATTGCAGGCATTCCTGTGTTCTCTCCATTGGGAAAGGCAGTCTCTTATGCAGTCTTTGGCCCTCCTCTTAGCCATGTAAGAAAGAGCCTGAAACTTGGATTTTTTTTTTTTTTTTTTTTTTTAGGTAGAGTCTTCATAGTCTGCCTTAAACTTATTATCCTGCACAGAAATACTTTTCCTCATTTTATTTATTTATTTATTTTGGTTTTGATTTTTCTCCTGTACCGGGAACTGAACTCATGACCTTCTGCTTGTCAGGCAGGCGCTTTCGCCGCTGAGCTAAATCCCCAGCCCCCTTTTCCTCATTTTAAAATCAGTGTGTATTTCTCTGTTCTGTTCACCTGTGCATCATGTGACACCTGACCAATCCCAACCGATCTACTCCATCTCTGCCCCTGAAGAGAGAACATGGGGTCTTTTTTGCTGCAACAGAAGAGCGGCGCACAGAGGCCAGCTGCCCCACCCTGTCTGCCAACAGTTACCACGTGGCCAGGGCTCTGAAGGCTGCTGCAGAAGCTGAACTCGTTCTGCCTCCTTGCTCTGTGCCTCAAGCATTGTTCCATCCAGTGTTTGACTGCTGTGTTTTCACCAGTGACTCTAACACCAGCACACAATGGACGGAAGTGCTCAGGCCTCTGATGATGACAGGTCACAGCCGTCACATGCCTGACACTTCCCCAGAAGACAGAGTGTAGATCTAGGGCAGGGGAGAGACTGCAAATTTCCTGACAAAAATTCCTTATCCTCTTTGTATGTTAAGAAATTAACTTTCTTTTCTTTGGTTTTGTTTTTGGTTAAAGAAATTAAGAAACTTTCAGTATCCTGACTGAAATGAGAGTTATGCTTTTTGTTTCTGTATGTTTGTTTATAGAGTAGTTACATTCACTTTGGGGAACTGGCACATGTATATATTGAATCTCAATTTTTGATCCCTTTACCTTCTCCCTCCTGCCCTGCGCCTGATTTCCTGCCCCTGCCCCATCTCCAAAAAGTCTCCCTCCTTGTTTCCCACCATCTCTACTTTATTTTACTCTTATTTATGTTTTGGGGGGTCTCTATAGGAGAAACCATGCATCATTTAACTTCCTGTATCTGACTTATTTTGCTTAATATTATGGTCTCAAGATTTATCCCCTTTCCTGCAAATGACATGATTTCATTCTTCTTTCGTCTGAATGAGGTCCCACTGTGTGTATGTACCACACTTCCTTATCCATTCATCTGTCAAGAGTTAGGATTGAATGTTCTTCTAGGTTGACATTTTTTGTCTTCAGAGAAAGTTCTAAAAGAGATCAGCAAATCTCTTTGGGTGGGCAATATGCCAGATGTTACAGAGGTTGGTTGGGAAGTACAGATACCTCTTTTGCCACCTGATCCTCATCACAGGGCAAGCCTGGAAATACCTGGCCTCAAGTGGAATCCCACCTCCTGTCAGAGGGTGAGAAGGGACAGGGAGTCCACCTGGATATTACTTAGCTTTGCATCTGTGGGGAATAGAACGGCAAAAATGGAGCCAAGATAAGGCTAGAAAAAAAGGCAGGAGGGTATCTCAAGTTTTTTCATCCCTAAAGTGACCTCGTGAACTCAAACAGATCATGAAAATTCAAAAGATACTGTCTAGAATCCCAGGGCCCAGAATTAACTATTGTTAATTTTAGGAATTATCCTTGCATTAGCCTTTTATGCATATAAATGGAAAAAAAAAAACAAATGGTTTTAGAACAATGGGTCATATTCTACATACTACTTTTAAATAAACTACATTATATCTATAGTTACTTAAATTTAACAAAATAAGCTGTGAACAGTGGAAGTAATTACTAGTATAGTATTCAGAATTAATTTTAGTACATTACCTGATAGATGCCTATAAGCTAGAAAATATATCACAATAGCAAGTCAGAGGTGCCTAGTGTGCTTCCCTCCAAAACAAAGTATTAAAACAAGAAGCAGCAGCTATTTCCTTGGCATATTTGAGGCAGAGCATCGGAGTGCAGTGGGGATGTAGTGGAGATTCTGCTGAGCACAGACATATACAACAACCTTATAAAGCAGGGAACTAAGCGCATAGGATCTACCACTCCATTTCCTGAGATCAACCTGAACCAAAAGGGAGTTTGCTTGGTGGGGAGATGGTAGGCAGGAGGCCTTTGGAAATCCCACTCATGCACAGACAACCGACGCATTAGCTGCTATAGAGCCCTGCAGCCTGTACAAGCCGCAAGTGTAGTTCCCCTAGCCCATGTGATGTGCCCATTCCCCAAGCCATTTGAGACCCTGTCCACCTCAGGTCCTCTCCGGTAAGGCATCTGCCTCCAGCAGCTCCACTAATGCAGTCTCGCAAACCAGCCAGGAAGCCCAGTGAAACACTTCAGAAACCCACCCTGGGTGGCTTAGGCTACAGAGGCCCAGAGTAGTAGACAAGTGACCTTTCCTGAATGGCTTGGCCTGCTGAGACCCCTGGGACACAACTGAGTGGCCCCATCCATCCTCCTGCAGCTTCAAGAAGCATTTGAAGAGCCTTTTTTTTTTCAGAAGCGTGACTCATTGAAGCCCCAGGAAACAGATGCTCAGGCCTGCCCACCTACCCTTGACCCCAGGAAGCAGCTGAGCAGAACTCCTTGAGCAATTTGATCACTGGAAACCCCTCAGAATCACCTGTGCATATCTCAGGCACTCACAGGCACCCCAGTCCACTATAGAGTACACTGTGTCATACCTGCATAGGCCTACCAGGGCAGCTCTGCCTTCATGACCCATGGAAACTTAAAGGTGCTCCATACCTGTAGCCAGGTGCATTATGCTTGCAGCTGCCAGTGAGCATGCTCTTCAAAAAGGAGTTGCACGCTGGTTGGTAGTGCAGTCCTGCAACCTTTGCAGTGTAGGCCAATGACATATTCACAATGTTGATTATAGCTAACGCAGCTACATGGACATTACATTAAGGCATTACCTGAACTAAAGCCGGTGCAGCATATCCAATTAACAGGATAAAACACATCAGCAGCAGAAAGTCTTTTACCATGCAGGGCAGCCTGTAAAATTATTAGTGGCAACTGACCCACAAGTTGCACAAAACCAAGGTAGGGACACAAGAAGTATGAAGAAACAAGGTAACGTGACACCTCCATAAAACACAGTAACAACAGAACCTAAAGAAAAGGAAACCGACTAACCACCTGGTGAATACTGAAGAATGATTGTAAGGCAACAGTGAGATGTAAGAGAATACAGACAATTCAACAAAATTAGGAAAATATTTCATAATATGAGAAATTTGGCAAAGAGATAGACATCATAAATCTTGGCACTAAAGGACTCAATAAATAGAACAAAAACACAGAGAGCTTCAACAAAATTGATCAGGCAGAAGAAAGAATTTCTCAGCTTTAACATAGGTCATTAAGATTAAGAAAAAGAATAAAGAAAATCCTCAAGATTTATCAGACACAAGGAAGCAAACTGTCATATTATAGATGTTTCAGAAAAAAAGGAAAAAGGCTTATAAAACCTAATGAAATAATTGCTGAAACGTTTCCAAATCTTGGAGAAAGTATGGAATATAAATCCGGGAAGCTCAAAGTACGCATTACAGATTAAAACAAACAAACAAAAAGTTCCTGTCTGAGGCATATTATTTTAAAGAGAATAAGTTTTAAAAAGACCAATAGCAAAATACCAACAACACAGACAAAAACAAAGCCGATGTTGGAGAGGCTGGGGGAGAAAAATGAAGGCTTCTCCACTGCTGGTGGGAGTGTAGACTGGTGAAACCACTGTGGAAATCAGTGTGGAGATTCCTCACAAAACTAGGGTTAGAAGTCCCACTTAACCCAGCTATTCCCCTTCTGGGTATTTTCCCAGAAGAATTAAAAACATCATACCACAGCAATATATGTGCACCCATGTTTACAGCAGCACAATTTGTCATAGCTAAATCTTGAGGCATATTATAGTCAAACTGTCAAAAGCACCAGGCAGAATGCTAAGGCAGCAAATAAAGGATGGAATCAGTTGTGAGGAAACCTCCACAGACAACAATAGACCTCTCAGAAGAAACTTTATATGGCCGGAGAAAATAGTATGATACATTCAAAATCCTGAAAGAAAAAGAAATGCCAACTAAGGGTACTACATCCAACAAAACTATCTTTAAGAAATGAAAGACTTTCCAAGACAAGCAAAACCTTAGGGTATTTATCAGCATGAGACTGGCCCTACAAGAGATTCTTTCACTACACCAGAAATGAAAGAATGACAGCTATCACCATAAAAGCACAAAAAAGTACAAAACAGCAGTACAGCACATACACAAAAGAAAATCAAACATTATTAACAGAGAAAACCACCAAATTACAAAGGTCAG